GGGGCTGCAGAGAGAATGGTTGCATGCAGGGAGAATGGGTCTGCAGAGAGAATGGGTCTGCAGAGAGAATGGGTCTGCGGAGAGAATGGGTCTGCAGGGAGAATGGGTCTGCAGAGAGAATGGGTCTGCAGAGAGAATGGGTCTGCAGAGAGAATGGGTCTGTAGAGAGAATGGGTCTGTAGTGAGAATGGGTCTGCAGAGAGAATGGGTCTGCGGAGAGAATGGGTCTGCAGAGAGAATGGGTCTGCGGAGAGAATGGGTCTGCAGAGAGAATTTTGCCGCGATCCCAACTGTCTGTTATCAGCCTGCAGCCAGGGAGGAGAGATCAGCTGAGCTGCATGCACTGAGTGTGTGAGGAAGTCCGTGGATTGGTCAATTTGGACCAATCAGCGGGGGCTTAAAGTAACGGCTCCGCGGACGTAACGTAACGGCTCCACGGATTGGTCCATTTCGTTCCGGGGACGACATGACGTCATGATGTACCAGGAAGAATCAAATGGACAGTGACGTATCTCCAACGAGGCGTTTTGGGGAGGTATTTTCTGTTTTAGAGTTTTACTCCCTACATGGTGTACTTTGAGGGTTTTGACTCTGCACACCGTTTACATGCATAAAAACATTCATAACACACAAGGGGACGGGTACTAACCGGAAAAGCATGACATGTCACCTTTAACATTTAGAGAGGGGGAGAAAAAAACAGCTACTCCAGCACTAAGGTTTGAGCCATGACTGAGTACATACTGACCCCCCCCACCACATTCCCCAGTCCGTCTCATTCAGGCTCTCACTGTGCGTTTCCTGAAGAAATATCTCATCTAATTTTTTCTGATTAAAGACCTCCAACACTAAAGCTCTTTTCTGTGCACTTCTACCCCCGTTAATGTTTAAAGAAGCAACCCTTAAAGCCTGCATTAGAGGAAGGAGATAGAGAAAAATAACAGACAGGTACACACAGCAGAGAGGAGACACCAAGTGTTGCATGATCATTTTGAAATTATTTAGACCTTTTCAGTTTCCCCCCTGTTTTACTTCCTTTCGTAACTTTTTTCATAGTAGTTACATGCTTCCTGAGACGATAGCGTCTCTTTTCATCCAGCAGGTCTAACCCTACAACTTTCTGAAGAGTGCTCACTGTATGAAGAAACTTGTTAGTGTCAGGGAAAAAGTCTCTCACTTCCACTGCCTTGCCAAAGGACTCATCTAAAAAGACATTAATCTCTTCCAAAGAATATATCTCTGTGTTCTGAGAGAGACTATCTGCAACTGAAACACAGTCAGAATCCCCCTCACCGTCTGTGTCCATCTCTGTCACCTCATTATTGTCTGCAGCCTGTTGAAGCTCTTTTTGCCTCCCAGAACCAGACGGCAGCTCCTGCTGTGTGCCAACAGCCTCCACCTGTCCCACAGCACCAGTCCTCGCCTGTCCTGCTACATCATCTCCCACCCGTTTACCTGTTTCCACATTTTTTCCTCTCAGACTCACCACACTCTCTACAATCCCCGTTTCATCTCTCACGATATTCATCCCTACTTCATCCGCAGCCCCTGGGGCCCCGGCGAGTGCAACAGCAGCCCCTGCGACACCGGGCTCCGCGGCCGCCGACCTAGCGGCCCCGGCCGCCCCAGCGACTGGCTCGGCGGCGCCGGGCTCGGCGGCCCCGGGCTCAGCCGCACCCGGCGGAGCGGCGTGCCGTCTCTGTGGACATGCAACACGTTTGTGACCCGACTCCCCGCACTCAAAACACTTTACGTTCCCTGAGCTCGCATAGACCATATAAAAACCCTCTTCGTGCCTCACCCGGAAAGACACATCTAGTGTCTGAGTGGGACAACTCAGAAACATGAACACCTGTCTCCGCAGAGATTGGACATGTTTTAGCTTTTCATCCTTACACCCCAGAGCAACAGTGCGGAGATTACTGGCAAATGTACCGAATCGCTTCAGCTCCCGTTCCAGCGCCTCATTCGGGATGAATGGAGGAACGCCAGACACAGTGATCCGCGTGGACGGTGTCGCCAACGGCGAAACTTGAATATATTCCTCGTTTACCATTAATCTGCTCTCAATAAGTTCCGTCACATATTTCTGGTCTTTCAAAAAGACCACGACCGCTTTGTTCATGCGGGAAGCATCGGAGATGTTTACGTGACCGACCTGCTCCCCCACAGCCAGCAGCACCTGCTCCACTGTGCTTGCGGCCTGAGCCACCAAACGCACTCCGTGTCTCAGAGACACCGGCGGCGCCCCGAAGGACGCCATCCCCGCCACGAGGCACGGAAAAACACTCACGAAAAAGTATTAACCGTACTTGCAAAGAGTACAAATATCCCCACGTAAGATCATACAGTTAAAGAAACGATTGAAACAGAAACAAACGAAATAAAAGTGAAAATCCCTCTTCCCTCTTCAAAAACACACCTCCACCACAGAAGAAGAAGAAGAAGAAGAAGAAGAAGAAGAAGAAGAAGAAGAAGAAGAAGAAGAAGAAGAAGAAGAAGAAGAAGAAGAAGAAGAAGAAGAAGAAGAAGAAGAAGAAGAAGAAGAAGCTGATGCCAACAGACTCAACAAGCTCATCAGGAGAGCAGGCTCTGTCCTGGGAGTGGATCAGGAGTCGTTGGCAGTGGTGTCGGAGGGGAGAATGCTGAGGAAATTCCTCGGCATTCTGGACAACGGGTCTCACCCCCTGCATGCCACACTGGTTTCCTACCGGAGCACTTTCATTCATAGACCGAGATCACCGAAGACCACCACACAGCGCCACAGGAGGTCTTTCCTCCCAGTCAAACTCTTTAACTCTTCACCCCTAAGTAAAGGGAACTGAGAACTTCCACACCAACACTATGTGCAATATACATATCAATATAATTAACATCATTGCAATACACTCGCTGCTATATATATATAACTATGTGCAATATTATATTATATTATTATTAGTATTATTATTAATAATGCTATGATAACGTGCAATTACGTAGCCTAACTGCCACTACGTTTTAATTTTTGCACTACTAACTACTAAATACTGCTAATAATGATTGCATTGATTGTGTGACCATCTATGTTTCTATGTTTCATGTTGTCTGTGGATGTTTAATTGCTCTTTTTCTGCTGTGTTTATTGTATTTTGTTACTCTGGCACAACAATTTCCTTCGGGATGAATAAAGTCTTATCTTATCTTATCTTAAGAAGAAGAAGAAGCCGACTCCGAGCTGTCCGACTTCAGGCGTGCTTTTTGAGACCTCCCCCGGCTGCGATCGGCTATTCTCGTCTACTTTCGAGGCGAGCCGCAACGCGTCTCAAACAAGCCTACTATGTATTGAAGTCAATGGAGAGAGAAAACGTATCTTTCGATCCCGTTTGAATTGTGCCACGAATTACACATATGATGTTTGTCAATCTTAAAAAATTATTTCCATGTCAAAAAAGTCACGGTTTGTCTTAAAACTATTGAAATATAAGACTATGAAAAATATGCAACTAGAAAGACTACAAATCCCAGAGTCGCGTACATTAACGTTACACATACACTTGTGTTAACTGAAACCTTGTATAGCCGGTCCTGTATGCTGGCTCTTACGGAGCGAATAACTCCCCTTGAGTGTATGTACAGTTCTCAACGTGGCCAGACTTGTAGTGATTTTCACCTCTTTTAATACTTTTCACTTCATTCTGAAAGAAAGAGGTGAAATGTGCTAATGTGACGGCCATCTTGGTGTTGGTGACGTATGCAAGACCAGAGTTGTAGTTCATTGAGCGCTTCACACAAAATAATGTGTTACTTCACAGTTTTACGACACATTTTTATTTTTTTTACTTGCAAAATTATCTTTTAAATTGACAAACATCATATGTGTAATTCGTTGCACAATTCAAACGGAATCAAAAGATAATCTTTCTCTCTCCATTGACTTCAATACATGATTTTTCCGAAATTTGGGGCCCTTCTCACTTCGGTTAAATGGATTCCTTGCGTCCCTCACTTGCGTCGTTTCCCTGCGTCTAGTCCCTCCCACCAGGGAAGCATGGAGGGACGCAAGGAAACCACAGAAGCAGGGAAATGAGTTTTAAGAGCAATGGGACGTCCTTTCCTCTGGAGTGAAGCGACTCCGTTTGTGATGACGCTGCACAGCTGATCGTCTGACAGCAGCTCTGTTCCCGTTATTTTTCACAAACACCCCCGCCTCTGTTAGTACACATTTACTAACACAAACATTTGTATCATCTGTTGTAGACCCAAATAAATAAAATAAAATAAGAAATAATTCTCAAAAAAGATAAACGCCATTCTTAAAATGTATAAACGAACAATAGTTTGATGAATATTGATTAGAGTACACAATAGAAATAAAATAATTGAGAGAAGAAAAAGAGATATATTATCTATCAAAACCCAGTTAGATTAACATTCATTGGATTGCACACTTTGTTTGTTTGTGTGGATATGTAGCAAATTAACATTTTAAATAGCACTTAATGACTGACTGAATGGAAATGACAATACATGAAAATGTAAAACGAAAAAAGCGATCATGAAAATGTTTCCAACAAATGAATAAAATGATTTTTGACCACTTTGTTGTTCAGATATATCACATATTTGTAACTAAATGAGACATTAATTGAAACAAAACACGGTATAAACTGAGGAGTGACTCCCGTGAGGTTCATGTATTTTCTTCACTCTGCTGGGAAACTGCTCTCATGTCAAGAAGCATCAGATCAGTGCATGCGCTGCATCGTCCAATCAGTGAGTGATACACAGTAAGGGGGCGGGGCGAGTATCTGAGGATTTCATCGGAGGATGGTCTGGTGGTTCCTCGGTTATCGCTTCTCCATTATCGCTCCTCGCTCCTCGCTCCTCGCTCCTCGCTCCTCGCTCCTCGGTCCTCCGGCAAAAATAAGGCCATTGGGACGCTACTCAAGATGGCGCAGACAAATCGACTTCCGGTGAGACCGAGACCGAGGAGCGAGGAAATGAAAAATAACCGAAGTGAGAAGGGCCCATGTCCCATGGAGCTCCCCCGGAAGGGGAGGGACTTCGCCTCTCTACTCGACTGCTGCTGCAACCCCGGTTTGTGGGGAAGGAAGATGGCGGCGGATGAAACTGAATTGCTTTTGCACTATTAAAACGGCAAAAAAGCCGTTTTTGCCCCTTATCACGGTTCATCAAATGTAATGCAAGACGGCAGCGTTAATCTCCTGCTACAGATAACAGGACTACAGGACTAAAGGTAAACCAGCAGCACACTGTCACTGACCCTCTCGCGACCATAAGCCTGCATGAGCTACTGTAAGAGAAATGGTGAAGCTAGCTAGCTAACTGAATGCCTCCGTCTTTATAGAGTTTGTATCCAAACAATGCAGCGTTCAACGCGACAACTACAAATATGTAACACTAGCTCACCCGGACACAACAAGTTAGGTGTAATCTTTTACAATAAAAGAGTTAGAAAATACATAGGGCAGGGAGGCAGTGAACGCTACACAGGGCAGTACACGGTACACAGCAGAAATACAAGTAATTTGCTAAACGAGAAAAATCGATACATACACAGGTTATTAGCTTAAATCAGGGGTGTCAAACTCAAATATACAGTGGGCCAACATTTTTAAAAAACGGTACTAGTCGAGGGCCGGGCTGGTTCAATGTTTATTGCAAAACGTATTCAAATTAACTTATTGCACATATTAAACCTGGAACTAACAAAGCTTAAATTATTGCCTATAAAAACAACATTAAATAATCAGTTGCATTCATTTCTTATGGCTCTATCTGCAGCTTTTCCGGAGTCATTTCTTATGATTCAATTTTTCCACAGGACAACAACAGCTTCAAAAAAACAATTTCCCTCAAAGAAAAAACAAACATGCCCTGTTGTCTCAAGAGAAAAAGTGCAGAAGGAAACATCCATTGAAACTCAGTGTGCTGCTCTGTGATGCTAGTTCAAGCCAGATACTTGGCAAGTTCATCAATGTTTGGGCTCAGGCTCTGAGCTGAGGAAATCCTCAGGATTGAGTGAAGGTGTGCGTGCAATATACCGGCGGGCCAGATCTAATAGTAATTACAAATTATCCTGCGGGCCGAAATTAAATCCACCAAGGGCCGATTTGACCCCCGGGCCTTGAGTTTGACACATGTGGCTTAAATATACAGGCTATGGTTATTACCTTATATGCACAGTCTATGTTTACTACCATGTACAATCTGGTTGGAGCACGTTTGCATTAATGTTTTGTCCAAAATTTGACTGATTCTGCCAACATGATAAACATAGAAAAACAGGTATAAATTACTAATTCAAGGCTGACCTGATATTTTTCAAACTACCAAAATGAATGTGTAATTTTTTAACCATCATGAGAATTGAAATAAAAGTGTAATTAAATGTTTGCAGTGCATGACATTAAGGATTTTGGCCCTGTGGGCCATCTAAGCTAATTTACAGATGGCCCTGAGCCCAATAGAGATTGCCCTGAAAAATGCGCGCGGACGAAATGACGCACGACGGGCTTGGGGGGCCTCCCCCTAGAACATTTAGATTTGTGCAGGTCTTAGATGCTGTCTGGTGCATTCTCTAGACTGAATTATAAGATGAACCACCACAATATTATATTGTACAATTTCAATTGTATTCTTCATTTCACTTGTTTGTTTGTTCTTGTTTGTGTTTGCTCGCTTGCATGCCCTGCATAGCTATAAGAAATACTTAAGTTGTTGGTCAAGACACTTTCCATCTGATGAAGGCAAATGCCTTCCCAGATGTAAAAAAGTAGAAAACATTACATTCAGTTATAACTGCCAAAACAAACATTATTTACACTATTATGGCCCCTGTTCAAAATGTTTGTAATGTTATCTACTGTAAGTTGGTCCAACGAATGCCTCCTCATCCGGAAGCTGACCGAGCAGCAGTCGAGAGGAGCCGAGCACATCCGCGAAGCACACAAAATGGCGACGTCAGAGTTCCCGTTAGCCGGCAAATCTAAATCTCTTCGGTCAAAATGTCCGGTCAAAATAATTTCCCTTTAGCGCAATACCGCTTCAGTTGCGCCACTTATGTGACAGACAAGAAGAGTATGTGACAGACAAGAATAGTCAATTCTAATGTCTAACACTTAATGTGGAGAAAGAGATGTCCTGTATGGGTTGATTGTGCGTTGATCTGTTGGTAATGCCTCGGGTTTCCGGTGGGCATGTAAACAAATGCATAATGCTGCGCTATACTTTGTGGCCTCACCCGGTTGCATAGCGACACTTATTGTTTAGGTGTCTTTTAATAAGCAGGTAGTCATATCATTAGCTAGAACTAGCTGGATCTGATCGATATGGACATAAACGCGAGTGAAGTCTAATCTGACGGGAGAGAGAGATCAGCTGCTGCTGACGAGTGGACACGCAGCTCTGCATGATCACATGCAGCGGTGAGCGGACAAAACACACTTCAGGTTAGAATATCACACGTAGCTATTTTAATTACCTCTCAAACTACCTAAACTAGTTATAGATATGTTTAGTTTTACTGTCGGGTCACTCATTACTGGATCCGCGAGCTGCATGAGACTGGCATAATAGATTGCCCGATCGGGCAACCAGCAGGTGAGGCTTCATTGCCCGAGCTAAATACTAGATGGCCATCGGGCAGTCCTTAATGTCGAGCCCTGGTTTGATTGCTTCACTCTTCTGTCCACAATGACGATGAATTCTAATTAATGATTGCAGGTAACTATTTTAATAAAAAAATACTTTATGCAAAATATTCACAACTTGTTCAACTTTCAAACATGTTGAATACAAAACGTAGCTTATGGAACACCACCCAAATCAGTAATCCCCCTAAAATGTCGATTTAGACATTTTACAACAGTATGCGTAAAATGTGCTTTAGCTAGTTATTTCATAAGACGGGAAATGCTTGATAAACACCCTCATTTACATGTGTTTGTTGACCACGACCAGTTGTTATTAAAGGCCACATGGTCCATCACTTTAAATGTTGAGGCTGCAAGGTATTGTGGGATGGCATTGAAGCTCCTTCTGCATCATCTAAAGCAGGGGTCGGGAACCTCCGGTTGATTTATAAACACACGCAAAAAATAAAAATATTAAAGGAATCTAGCAGGGCTCTCGACTAACTTGTTTCACCAAATACAATCTAAGCCGTCCCGATATTAATGTGGACCGTCCCGAATTTAAAATGTTAGTTTTTCTACATTATCATTAGTTAAAATCATTCAAAGTGACCTTTAACATAAATAAAACATCATACAAATCATTAGATGATAATTCATCAACCTTTTTATTTGAGTAAATCATTCAATCACATAAACAAAGGCCAAATATATTTAAACAAACACACAAACGAGAAAGTTACTCTAATATTGAATCCAATCAAGTCTCATCCAATTAACAAAACAATCCAACACTGTCCTGAAGACAGAACCCAGAGTAACCGCTAACCAGGATGACAGTCTGTAACACAGTCAGGAGACCTTTACAAACGGCCCCGCCCCCTCGCACACAGACGGGAGAGAGAGATCTCGTCTGGATTGGAAAGCTCGAAAATACATCATAGACGCATGTTGTAGTCTTATTGCATATTAGAAACGGAGTTGGTGAAACTAAAACTGCGATATAATGTGTATGTAGCAATAATACATATGACATATCTTTTTTAAATGTCTCCAGTACCGATAAAAAGTCCGATAACGTCGGAGTTTAACGTTACCACTGTCTTTAATAATTCTGGCCCGGGGCTCGGTACCCATCCCTACATGGGGAGAGGCAGCATATTGCTAAGGACTAAATACGATGGAGAGTTCTCATCTCAGCCTTATTACCCATAGGGGATGAAGAGGAGTGAGTAAATAAAGAGGCCGGCGCTCCAGGGTCTGGTTCTGCTGTGCGTTTTTGTGATTAACGGTAAAACATTTCAGAATTCCTCCACGGGATGCCATTGTACATCACTCAACCCGCGAAATACACACACTCAGTACATAGCTAGACCCGCGAATTTGCCAGGAATTGTGCTTATGTTGACAAGGAGGTTTAATAACTGTGTGCTACACAAAACGTGCAGTCGGTTTCATTTTCATCGCCGTTTGTAGTAGAGTTAGCAGAGTATTTTTATTTTAACTCTCGTCCCAAATTCGTCCCAAAATTATTTTTTATCCTCCCCGAAACAAATGTTTTCGACGACGGGACGTCCTTAAGCTCGAGCCCTGAATCTAGACCGCAAAATAATTAAACAAGCGAGTGCCTGTTTTTCCTGGCCTTGGTCAGGGTCCTTGAACACAACATGAGCCTAACGTGTCATCACATGGTATATGTCTCGTCTGACAGGGGTGCAGTTCTGACCATGGTTCTGACGGAGAGCACCAGAACGCCGCTCCGGCACTTCAGAAATTGCAGTACCCATAAGGAGCCGTACACATGCCGCAGTTTCTGCGTGTCTGTGTCTTTAGTTGAAAGCCCAGTGGTCTGTTCATCTGTCATTCTGATCATACAGTCAATAACTTTGTTGTTATTAGCATCTGGTTAGCTAGCTATGCTAACGAATATAAGAAGCTTTTTCTCCAACCAGTGAGGTAAAGGCACATCTTTATATGATCATTATAGTTATAAAACAATAAGAGAATAAAGTAAACGGGTATAAAATACTATACGACAGTAAAAAAGTTGTTATTAATAAACAAGAATACAGTTTGAAAGGAGAGTGATTTGTAAAATATCCATAAAGAAAAAGAAAATCTGCTTACAGTTCTGTTTCATATGTGTTGAGAGATGTATCCATAGATCTCCTAGTGTTGCTCTCAAAGTGCACCAGATTGATGCTTTTAACTTCAACATTTAAAAAAAAATCCCCCTAGAGGAGGTTAGGTCCCCCATCCATCCATCTTCTCCCGCTTATCCGTGGTCGCGGGAGCGACCCGACCACGACCCACTTAAATCATGTCCACATGGATATGAAACTAAATACATTTGCACACATCTTGTGTCCATATCTTTATGTTTTGGTGGTCATGCCACAACCGTGCACGTGCATGCATGCGCGAGTCATTGTTAGGGCTGCAACAAACGACTAATTGTATAATCGATTAATCTATCAATTTATTAAACGATTAATCGACTATTCAGACTATTACTGTATGCCTTGCACAATTTCTCAAATGCTCTTATTTAGCCATCAACTTTTAGATGTAGCTTGAAGTTGTTTTAGGCATGTGGAAACTAACAATGAAGACAATAAAGATTAATACTTGATTCAAAAATACATATATTATTAAACTAACTAAACAAATTGTGAACAAAATTAACATTGCTTTTTATTTAAATTAAATCAATAATATTTCGCATCAAAAGAAACAATGTTTTAACAAATCGTATTAAATAATCTGATGACAGAACTGTGAACAGAATAGCTGAAACTTTAACAAAATAAAGAGTAACTCTGTTTCCTATAATCATTAACCCATGTTTGTATCATGGAGTTAACTCCGTGTGTTGCTGCTAGCATACATAACACCTGATGTGGAAACGTTACTCGTGGATGGGGCTACAGAGCTGCTAGAAAGACAGTGGAACCCGGTGCATTCCTCCGTCTGGATGTGGAGCACTTTTGCTAAATGTTTAGACACATTGCTCGTGTTACCGCCCTTACATGCTAAACTCTTATTGCACTTTGGCAACGAGCATCGAGACGGGTAAAGTTTAACCACACCTCGGAGCGCGTTCTCTCCGCCATCTCCTCCGTGTGTCGCTGCATGTAGCAGCTGTGTGTGTGTAAACTGCCCCGCCCCCTCGCACACAGACGGGGAGAGAGATCTCGTCTCGATTGGAAAGATAAAAAATACACCATGGACGCATATTTTTGTCTTTTTGCATATTAGAAACGAGTTGGCGACACTAAGACTGCGATATAATGTTTTTGTATCAATAATACATGACATATATTTTGTCTCCAGTACCGATAAAAAGACCGATAACGTTGGAGCTTAACGGCGTGTAAAATACACGTGATGACGTCACCAACGAATCGACGACTGAATTAGTTGGCAACTAATTTGGTTGTCGATTTTAATCGATTAAGTTGATTAGTTGTTGCACCCCTAGTCATGGTGAGATATCTGGATTAAGAGGTTGCTTTTTCTTTGCACAGCATGAAAGAAAGGCCAAATGAGTGGGCTGTGATTTTAGTATTTTTAAGCAGAGGTCAATCATTTGTACGGCCCTCGGAGGATGTTGAAAACATTGAAATGGCCCTTGAGAGGAAAAAGGTTCCCCACCCCTGATCTAAAGAATCTGAATAGCTCTTATCATGTCTGCCACTTTGGTACTTTACAGGTCCTTTGGCTCCATTAGGAACCTTCCTGGGAGATTAAGATTATTATAAATCACAACATTTTTAACCACAACCTTGGTATTAACCTTTACAAACGAGGGTTCCCTTATAGGTAAACATTTATTTGGATATTCTGCCTTAAAGTGGTTTATATAATTTTAATAGCGATTGCCAGAATAGTAAATGCGAACATTCTTGAAAATACATACATACTAACTACGACAAAGCAAAACTGTTTAGTTTGAATCTCAACTAATACAGTGCAGCAACTAGGGATGGGTATCGTTAAGGTTTTAACGGTACTACTACTTTTATCGATACCGCTTATCGGTCCGGCCTTTAAACGGTACTTTTATCGGTTCTTTTAATAAAAATAAAAAAGGTAAACTAACTAAACAAATTGTGAACAAAACTAACATTGCTTTTTATTTAAATTAAATACATAATATTTCACATCAAAAGAAACAATGTTTTAACAAATCGTATTAAATAATCTGATGACAGAACTTTAAACAGAATAGCTGAAACTTTAACAAAATAAATACCTCAGTTTCCTCTAATCATTAACCCATGTTTGTATAATGGAGTTAACTCTGTGTGTTGCTGCTAGCATACATAACACCTGACGTGGAAACGTTACTCGTGGATGGGGCTACAGAGCTACTAGAAAGACAGTGGAACCCGGTGCATTCCTCCGTCTGAATGTGGAGCACTTTTGATACATGTTTAGACAAATTGCTCGTGTTACCGCCCTTACATGCTAAACTCTTATTGAACTTTTGGTAACGAGCATTGTCCACATCGAGACGGGTAAAGTTTAACCACACCTCGGAGCGCGTTCTCTCCGCCGTGTGTGCGTTGCCCCGCCCCCTTGCAAGCAGGCGGGGGAGAGAGATTGAAAATACTAAAAAAATAATCATAGACGCATTTTGCAGTCTTTTTGCATATTAGAAACGGAGTTGGCGACAGTAAAACTGCAATATAATGTTTGTGTATGCAATAATACATATGACATATTTTTTAGATGTCTCCAGTACCGATAAAAAGACCGATAACGTCGGAGTTTAACGGTACCACGGTCTTTAATAATTCAGCCCCGGGGCCCGTTTAATACCGGGGCTCGGTATCCCTTCTCTAGCAGCAACGTAGCAACTATTTTATCTGTAGGAAAATATAAATCTGAGGTGTTCACCAAAGATAATACATATTCAATGACTACTTAAACCAGAGAATATGATCATTTGTGTCTGGAAGAAGTAAACAAGTTAAAAAATATTTCATGTCTGAGAAGGTTTACTTATGGCGCATTTCCACTGCAGCGCGTAGCACGGTTTAAGCGTGCCGTGCCAAACCTGGCCCGTTTTTTGTTGCGTTTCCACTAGGGGTGGTTCCGTCTAACGGGTACTGTTTCACAGTTTTCTGGCCCTCCAAAATCCAGGTTCTTTCCGGGCCAACAACCGGGCTGAGTATGCTAAACTAGAGAGAGAATCGCTGGCAAGGGGGCTACAACTACAACAAAATGAACATATTTGACCGTGATTTAATTGTAATACACGTTTCAAAATGATGCCGAAGTAACAACATACCGGTTAGTAAAAACCATGAATTAATGCTTTGACAAGTCTGCAGACAGACGGCAGGCGAAAAACCTTTTAGAATGCTTGTTTTCTGAATGGAGATCGGCTAAGCAAACGCAGTATATGCGCAGACTGTCCACACTCACAACAACGGCCTACACATTAGGGATGTGCATCTCCATCACTGAGGCCGATACGATGCGCATCTCGATACGCTGCCAACGATAAGATACATTAACGATACCTTTGAAACACCAGGCGATGCGATACGATTCACACCTGTTGCGATACAGTTCGATACGATTTGATTCAACATTATGCGATACGGGACGATGCGATTCAACACGATGCAAAATAATGATACAATTCAATTTGGTACGACAGAGGATTTTAGTTTTATTCCTCATATGCAGCAAATCATAAATTAACAAAAAAGTGCTTTACATATTTGGTTCTCTCTACTAGTACTGCGCATCCCATCATGCTGTTTGACCTTAAACAAAACAAACACTTGGACCTTTCACAGACTGGCCTTTTCACAAGTGTAGTAGTGTTCTCTGTCTCCAGAGTAAAGTACAATGTTATAACACCTCACAGTTAAACAATGTAAGGATGCATTGCTCATGATTAACAATGTGCAAATAACAGCTACCATAGTGCAATGCCCATACAGCTGCCAGCCTGATGTGCTTAACACTCATAGGCTAACTCACCAGTGAGCAGAAAGCAGTGGGTTCTATAGGAACAATGAAGAACACAAAGAACCTTTCACAAACAGCTCTTTCATAACTGCTTACAGTAAGGAAGACATTTAAACTGTTATTGGCCGTCACAGGCTGCTGTAAACTAAACACCACTCTCTCTGACAGAACACCTCACTGAGTGATTTAACTCATATGTCTAACTTTCAGGTTTCTCTTTTCAGCCGCAGACCCCATGTCGCCTCTTTATGTGTGTCGCTAAGTTCCTCGTACTACTTGTGTACTTCAAAGCGGCTCGGCATCGTTAACAATTTGCGAGCGATTTTTCAAGTTGACCGTCTTTCTTGAACAATCCGAAGTGTTGCCAAACGTTTGATTTGTAGGTATTTTTCTGTGCGCTGTGTTTCTCTTTCTCCTCGACTTCCATGTGTGTTGATAACTGAGATTCTCGGCCTCCGTAGTGCGAAGCAAAGATCAAAGATCGTCTCTGCGGAGTGCTGACAGGATGAGGGGATATTATATGAATGAATAGTTTTTTTACCGATGCAAAGACGCTACAATCGATGCATCGCGAGTTCAACCCAAACTGTAGCCGATGTGCACTCTTTCAACCGGTGCACTCGCATCTTCAACGTTTATGCCGGTGCACCGATGCGAATCGGTGAATCTTAACATCCCTACTATACAGACAGAAATAAAGCAGCGACTGTATTCACCATGACACAGGCAGTCTGTGGTTTGTACTTGTTTAACTTTTGTCTAGTTTCTGAACAGATATGAAGAGCTGTGAGCTCTGAGTGCCAACAGCTAACGGCTGATGTTTTGGTTTTATGGTTCGCATTGAAGATGACGTCATAGCTCCACCTACATTGCGTTACTATAGTTACTGCACCACCTACTAAACTGTAATGGAAACGCAGCATAAAGTGAGCCTGGCCTACCAAGGCCTAACTATACCGTGCTAAGCCGTGCGAGGCCCTGCAGTGGAAATGCGCCATTAGAATGTTGCATTTTTCCAACCTCAAATCCCTTGTTTGTTTGCTTACAAATTGTAATTGATCCAAATGAGCTTGCTCATATCCCTGCATTGTCATTCTCTCACTCCTGAAGTGTTCACAAATGCACTGCATGTGCTTATCTTCTAGGTTTATTCCTGGATTCCATTTCTGTGACGTATCCTTGTTGGGGCTTCAAACCGCAGGGTCCCGCTGTCTGACTTTTGCACCACTAGTTTTCCTGGCCCATGGACTTGAGTCCAGCATCAGGCTTCAAAAGGAGGCCCCTTGCTTCCTTTTCCCCGAGTGGAGATAAAGAGATTGCCTGGAGCCCTACTCCCTGCTCGCCATCCTTGTCTCCATCCTCTCCTTCATCTAATCCGTCTTCTCCCTTATCTACATCCTCCTTTGTTTGCATTAACTTAGGTTATCAGAGCCATGTAAAAGCACAGACCCAAGGGACAGAAGTGGCCAAGGTGTCCTCCACTTCTGCCTCTCTAGCAAAGCAGTCACTCTCCTTAACTACACCCAACACCACCTCCTTAGAATCCTTGACTCACGCTTCAGTGCAACCAGGTGTTGATTGTGAAGAAGAGGGCAAGAAAATGGACATGTATGATCCTTTCAATGAAATTGAGGGAGTGAAGGGGGAGGAAGGGGAGAAATATGACCCCTTTGACCCCACTGGTTCCCCAGAATCAGACCCTGATGGAATTGCAAAAGTCAGGGGGGGTGAAAAGAAATGCTGAGAGAGGTGATGAGGAAGGAGAGCAAAAGGAAGAACCTCCAGATTCCACTTATACCTTGGCGGACCTGCAAAGCCCCAGACCAGCCACCCGACTCCCTCTCAGGAGGAGAGTGGACTGTAGCACCGCAAAAGCTGGGGAGCATAGGGAGAGTGCTGAGTCTGATCACTCCGAGATAGAGGAGGGGGAGATAGTTGGAGCTACCGACAGGAATGGAAACAATAAAAGACCATCAACTGGAGAAATTACCCAACTTAATTCTCCCAGTGTCTCCTTTTTTGGCTCAAAGCCAGAGCGCATCCTTCGGGTGCTGGACGGGGACGGCTTTGTGTCTGTGTGCACAGAGAGCAGCTGGGATGTGGACATGGAGCCTGAGGACGAGCCTGTGGTAGAAGTGGAGGATCTTAGGAGGAAGCTGGTCAACAGGCGAAAGGAAAGATATCTATCTTTTCCTTCTCCTTCCCCTATCTCTCCTCAGTCACTGCCTCCTCCCTCAAATCCTCCATCTTCCACTCCCTCTCCCCCTCTCACACTTCCGGTACAACAAGGCATCAAGAACCACAGCAAGTCCTCCAAGATTTCCAAGGACCACGACCAACCGAAAAGCAAGAATAGGAAGGCAGGGGACAAGGAGGAGAGAAGAAAAAAGAGTAGGAAGGACAAAGAGGGATGTCGGGAGAGGAGCAAAGAAAAGGAAAAAGGCCATAAGTCCGGGAAGGAGGTAAAACAAAGAAGGAGCAGCAGGAGCAGTAGCCGGAAGAGAAAGAAAAAAACGCTTAGCAGCCCAGAGCTCTCAAGATCCTGCAACTCTTCAGGAAGGGGGAGGCACACCAGACACTCCTTTTCAAGCCAATCTCTAGAAATAGACAGAGAAAAAGATAAAGACAGAGAGAGAGATAGAGGAAGAGAGAGAGACAGAGACAGGGATCGAGACAGAGAGCAAAGTCAGACCACTAGCCAAAGAAGAGATGAGAGAGTTAGAGATTCTAACTCCAAAAGTAAAGACAGACAAAGAAAAAGAAGACAACACTCAAGCAGCAGAGAGCGAGGCGTTCCAAAGAGGTCTAAACCAAGCAGGGAGAAGAGGGACGAAGAGAGAGACGGGCAGCATGAGAGGGAGCGACGTCTGGACGGTCGTCCTGTTGTTCCGCCCTCTATCCAAGACCTCACTGGGTCTGACCTCTTTGCCATCAAGAGAACCATCACAGTCACCACCACTACAACCACCACCACAGTACCTGGCTCCCCACGACTGGCCCCGGCCTCTCCCTGTCAGCCCACACAGGACTCTGACGAGCCCCACAAGAGGAAGAAGAAGAGGAAGTGGCACTCAGCTGGAGAGATGGAGGAGCAGGGAAGTTGTCACAGCCAATCACAATCACCACCAAGGTATCAGAGCTACGAGTCAGACCACTATTCAGATAAATTGGAGATTGATGTGTTGTCTTTGGATGGAGAGGCTTTGGACTCAGACTACCCATATTTGGAGGATACACCCCCTGCTGCCCTGCCCCCAGAACAAACTATTGCCAGCCCCAAAACTAAAACTATTCCCAAGACTGGACGACATCACCCGAAAAAGAAATCGTATACATTAAAAAAAATTGCCAAATCTCAATCCTCCTCTTCCAATAAAACCAAAAGTAAAGGCCTCTCTTCACTGACAGTCACTTCAGGCCCTGCCTCCACCTCATCTGGCCTGCCCTCAACAAAGAGAGCCAGGAAGGTGGTGAAGGCAAAAAACCGGGACAAAAGCAGCAGAAAAGATTTGTCTCACTCTGGCAAATCAAAGAAAGAAAGTGGAGTTAGTCGGAAAGGCAAGCTTCAGTCAAAAGTGTCTGTGCTAGTGCGTGAGGGTGTGAGCAGCACCACAGGGGCTTCAGTGGGCTCTGGAAAGCTTGGCATGGATCTCATAGGGCCAGGAGGAACAGGAGGGGGGACTGGGAGCTCTGTGGTGGGTGGCTCAATTGCAGTAGTATTCTGCAGGGACAATGAGAGCAGGTCTCCGTTCCTCAAACCGTGCTCGGAGCCCCTATCACGTAGTAAAGATATGGCCAGTATGGGGAAGCGCAGCAGCCTTGCTGCACCACAATCCTCATTGTCCAGTCCTTCAGGACTGAAGTCCAAGAAAACTAAAGCCAGCTCCATCACATCCACCTCCTCCTCCGCCTCCTCCCCCTCATCATCTCTGACAACTAAGCGCCGTCGTCGCCTAGCCAAGAAGACAAGAGAGAAAGCTGGTGTTTTAAGGTTGACTGCTGGAAACGGAAGCCAAACCAAAGCCCTATCTGAAGGCTGGGGGGGGGTCTCTGTAGATCAGTCAGCCAGTGGGGAGGGTAGCAAGTCAGTCAGTCCACATACTAGCCAAGCTGGCCCTTTACCATGTTCTTCCTCTTCTTCCTCTTCTTCCTCTTCTACCAGTGTGCTCCCACCCTCCTCCTCCCCCCCCGCACACGCCTCCACCCTCCATGGCTCCTCTACGGGACACCAGGGAGTCTTCCCCAGACTCTCAGACTGTGGACAGCAGCTGTAAAACCCCAGACCTTTCTTTCCTAGCTGAAGACTGTCCATCTCAAACAAGCCCCACGCTCCAGGCATCCAGTCCTTCAAGCCTGCCCCCCCCCCCAGGGAGCAGGTGTCAGCATTGCCTTGTCTACACCCACTGCCAAACCCCCTTCCTTAGATGATACACCCAAACTCCTGGCCTCCCCTCCTTGCTCATCCTCTACAGCAAGCTGTGGTCCGACTTCCATTTCTCTGTCCTCGGCAGACCCCTCCTCCTCCTCTGTGTCTTCCTCATCTGCTAGTAAGCCTCACCCCCCCCCTCCAGAATTGTCTGTCCTCCCCTGGAGTCTGCAGACCGGAGTAGACTGTACCACTGGAGGAGTCCTAGCATGTGAGTTTTCTCCACAGATGTCATTCCGAAACATGCACACCTTTAGAGGCTTGCAGTACAGTAAACCTCCACTCATTTGATTGTATTTCTTGTTCATGTAAAGAAAGAGTTCAGAGACTTCAAACTTCAAATGTCAACCCTGTGACAGGAAATGAGTAATAGTCTTCTAACCTTTAATATTTGTAAAAGATCAAATGCACTTTGATCTGCAGCCACACACCAGTGTAGCTTCATTTTGAAAACAATAACCTATTTCAAGTATCTCCAAGTTGTTATTTCCAAAGCATGTAGAAAACAGATCCTTCAATAATAAACAATTCAGCATGCAGTTCATGTTCTTTCGAATACATTCTTAAACAACAACAAAATATGACTTATATGTTATTTGAATCATGAATGTATAGCCCCAAAGGTGTAAATGTGCTTTTGCTGAATTTTCAGTGACTGCTCTGCTCTTCAAAATGGAGGAGGCCAATATCGCCAGCAGAGCGAAAGCTCAAGAGTTCATTCAAGCAACAAGCCAGGTGAGTGTGGGTCAGTGACGGTCTCTCTGTCCCAAGCCGGCATTCTCCTCTGTCTTCTTCAGATTTGTTTGGTTTTATCTTATTAAAAGGAACCTTAAGGGCTTTAAAAACATGTCTTTAACACTGGAAAACTGGTCAATTAAAGAAAATCAAAGGCAAATAAAGCACTGACATGTGAGACGACCTGGAACAACTACAGCGACGCGTTTGACGTATGACGTTACAAAACAGCAGTTTTTAGTAGCAGAGCTCAAAACGGCTCCTTTCCCTCTGAATTCCTGCCCTTATGTCTTATAAAACATATCAAGTCCTGCATTAACTTTTTTAATGGTAATTTTCATGCAAGGTTAAGCATAAATCTAGTAAAAAATTAAAAAAAAGCTGCAAGCTGCTCTTTAAGTTGGTAAAGAGGAAAAATATGTTCATTATTACCCCTCTCAGACTCTCTCTTTCTGGACAGTTACAGAAAAAGACAGCCTAAATATTTGTATAGAAATGTACTGGGAGGGAAAGCAGGTCTACTGAGCCATTGCTTTTTCTCATGTTTGTCATGCAGATCCTCTCGCAGGCCAATCAGAGCCAGGCCCAGCAGCTGGCTCCTCCCTCCTCATCCTCACAGATCCCCCCTCCTCCCTCTCTTTCCCTCCATTCTGGTCCGAGTCCAGCCCAGTTCATCCTCCACAGCTCCAAAACCCCCCCCCCTCTCCTTCACCCCTCCATAGGTGGTGGGTGTGCACAGACCCCGCCCTTCATCATGCCTGGGGAGCTGTCCGGCCTCACTGGGAGCTTTGGAGACACTGGCTGGGACCTTGAGAGTAAAGACCCTGATAAGGTAACGCTGATCAGGATGCTTTGCTTCCCATTATGTCATATATTCTACTCTACATTGTTCAGCTTTATCAGCTAAAGTTATTTCAGTCTTATATGTTATCTTGTTAATTAACTTGCATAACTTAAAAAATAATCATACCTCTTTGAACATAAATGCATTACAGAAAGTGTAACTGCAGCTATTGTCACATTCAAGTGTTTGACTGATTTAGTAATTGTAAGTAAAAACCTAAGATCAATAAAGTAGACAAAGTTTGTTTAAGATCACAACAGCAACACAGAATATGAGTGTCTCCAATGTTTCATACCTGTCGACATGAGTTTGAAGGAAACAAAGCTTTCGCACTGAAAAAAACTTGTAATTATTTTAATTCTGTCGAAATTATCGCGTTAACGGCGGTAATTAATTTTTTGAATGAATTGCGTTAAAATATTTAACGCATTTAACGCATGTGCAGAATATGGGGGTTATTCCCTATCTTTATTCAAGTGGTATTTAAATTTGAGAGCATACTTTATGTATTTATTTCCCTCAAACCCTGTCCTCGCACTCCAATAGTGCCTGCTTGCACTTAGATTTGCTCTGCTTTCTGCTCAAACTGTACGCTTGCACTCAGATATATTGCTGCTTACAGATTTGTTCTGCTCTCAGATTTATTCTGTGCGCGCTCGAAACTTTTGTGCAACAATCCTGTCAAAATCCCTCAACCAATAGGAGGCCAGGTGTCCTTGCGGGTGCGTTCGCTTTACTTATTTCAGCGTCCCGTAAGGGCGGTTACTCTTTGGTTTATAAACTCCCGCCCTCCACGGCTTTATAACATAGCATGTACTGCACTTGTTTGATTTACAACTTTTGGGGGTGGGGGGGGGAAGCACAGTTAGTATATGTTTATAAAACGGACAAGTTAAATCAAGCAATCTGATGTTTCTTAGCTGATATAATGAGCGTATATCCAGGGAATAGTTGTTGTTACTTTTCACAAATCAGTATCCCTCCGCGTCTGAGAACCGTTACAACTGTTACATTACGTCCGTCACGAAACTAGCTAACTAACTAACAAAGCTTAAGATGGACACATTTAAGGTTAACTTCGACCTCCGGGGAGTGCCTATCTCCAGAAGAAAAAAAGCACCTAAACGACGACATTCGCTATCTGTTATTGTTGTTGCATAGCAACCACCTCGCACTATGTGCAGAAGGCAACGGAGGGATGATTTTATTTTATTCCCGGGCTGATTTTTAGTCCCAGCCCGCCACTGAACGTAGCTATTATGTAAGGTAGTTGTAAATCAAACAAGTGCAGTACATGCTATGTTATAAAGCCGTGGAGGGCGGGAGTTTATAAACCAAAGAGTAACCGCCCTTACGGGACGCTGTAATAAGTAAAGCGAACGCACCCGCAAGGACACCTGGCCTCCTATTGGTTGAGGGATTTTGACAGGATTGTTCCACAAAAGTTTCGAGCGCGCACAGAATAAATCTGAGAGCAGAACAAATCTGTAAGCAGCAATATATCTGAGTGCAAGCGTACAGTTTGAGCACAAGCAGAGCAGATCTAAGTGCAAGCAGGCACTATTTGAGTGCGAGGACAGGGTTTGAGGGAAAGAAATACATAAAGTATGCTCTCAAATTTAAATACCACGCTCTTGAATAAAGATAGGGAATAACCCCCATAGCAGAATGGCCCGCCCCATACATCCCACCAGTGGCAGCGCCAGGGTATGGCTGGGGTAGGCTACACCCATACCAAAAAATGGCTTAGCCCCAAATAAAGTCCGCTAACTCGCGCGGAGTAAATTGCACAGACAGCAGTTAGTAAGATTGATTTCAGTAGCCGCTTGTCTGGAAATACCGAAGACCAGAAACGGTTTTGAAAACTTTTGTAACGTAGTGATCGTCTTCTCAATAGAACATCTTTAATAATGTCTTCTGGCCAATCAGAATCAAGATAACGGCGTGGTGTTGTTGCAGGAAGTCCCGACGGAGAATACTTTTGCTGTAGTACAGGGGTGCACATAACTGGTATGCAGGTTATGTGCGTAATCTGAAATGCGTACCGTCACTTGTGTCACAAAGCGCATTTGCGTACCGACGTACTTGTGAAGCTTTTCCAGAAGGCGGTTAGATCACCGGACGACAGAGTCGGTCTCCGTGTGCACAGACAGGGCTGCTGTTAACGTCGGTCTGTACAACGGAATTGTGCCAAAACTACGCCAACCGTCTGCGGAGGGAGACTCCCCCCCTTCACTGGAGAACTGCGCTAAAACAGCTGATCACAACGTTCACGCTCTGTGGTCACGAAGTACTCCACTAGCGCGCCCCTCCGTCGACTTTCCTGAAGTACTCCCCCGTTGATAGAAATCAACACGTAATGAATTAAGACCCCACGGTTTGATGATTGATAGGTGTGTGGGCTGTCTTTCATTTTGACACGCAGAAAAATGATATAATAAGCATACATATTGTATGTTAAATGGATATATCCGCCTTCTTTCATTTATCTTTCCATTCCCACAACAATATACATAAAGAAATGGCATATTTTGGACATAGTTCGAATGGTGATTAATCATGATTAATTAATTTTTAAGCTGTGATTAATCTGATTAAAAATGTTAATCGTTTGACAGCCCTAAATTATTTGTATTATATATAATCAAATATAAACCCAATATATCAGTATTAGGGATCGGTTTGAAAATTGCCACAATCTTCCACTTGGACTGAACTGATTAGATTTTAGTGATCAAGGATCAAGATCACTGTGACCTCACCAACCACATTTTGGGCTGTAGCTTAAGAATTAATGTGGTAAATATGACCATTTACAGCAGGGGTGCCCAACCTTTTTTGAACCGAGAGCTACTTTTAAAGTTGCCAGTCTGCCGAGATCTACCAGTCCAAATAGAGAGGCGTAGTTACTGACAGCCTACTACCAGGTAAATACACACTTCTACTTGTATAAAACTGACCTTTGTACGATTAATACTTCATAACATACTGCAGATCCTTTATCTTACCTCTTTCTCATCTACACACATACAAGTATTTAACTGAAGTTACACAACAGTGTTGTTGATACAGAGTTGGAGTTTATTCACACGTCACTACAGTGGGTAATGTTTTCAAGAAACATTGAACAGTGCTGCCACATATGACACAGGGAAAAAAGAAAATACTCTGAACCCTTTCTTTGCCATTATATAAAAATAGTGTTGCTACAAAAGTATAAATGAGGCTTACTAATAAGACAACTCAGATCTGAAGCTACACAGGAATCTGCTGCAACAGTGCAATAAAAAAGACAAAATTAATAGAATCAAACCCTTTTTTTGTTGCATTTTAGTAGATTATAAAAAGAAATGCCTTTAAAATAGGATGCAAGCAACACTAGTTTCTTAACCTGAATTGATAATAGACTATAATCAATTTAAGTTTGCATTCTTATACCATTTTGTACAATAATTATAATGAATAAGTTCAAACAAACTAAAACTTACAGCTGATTAATAACGGTATCTAAATTGAGTTTTTATTATATCAAAAACCTGTTGAAATGCTTCTGTTATTTTTACTGTCCCCAAAAAGCGCGTCGGCAGCCTCCAGGAATGCTTCTTTCACAACTTCGCCGTCTTTGAAAGACTTCATGTGTTTCTCAAGAACGTGACTGACACGATAAGATGCTCTGGTAGCAGCCTTGCTCTTGTTGTTGGGCCTGGTGGAAATGGACTGCTGTGCATTTAGCTGTCCTTTCAGGCCCCTCCCCTTTTGGAGCGTAGGGCAGAATTAAGAGGGAATTCCGTCTCGTAGCGTTTGTGCACTGTTTTGAAATGCCGCTCCTAAATTACCCTTCTTCGATAAAGCCACGCTCGCATTGCAGATGAGACAGATGGACTTTGAATTGGAATAGATACAAAAATAATCATCCTCCCACTCGGAGTGAAAATTATATATGTTTTGCTTCTGCCATAATTGCGGTCTTGTGTGTGTGCGGACTGTCACTCCTGTTGACACGGACAACGTTAGCGAATTAGTGCACTGCTCACCAGCCACGCCCCGACACATGGGGTCACGGCGGCCAATCCCAAAGCTTTGATGCGTTCAAGTGCATTATTCTGGCACAGGAAGATTATGTTATAGGACATTAACGATAAAACAGAATATTGTTGTTCTATTTTTAGACACATCTCGCGATCGACTGGGAATCTCCCCGCGATCGACCGGTCGATCGCGATCGACTGGTTGGGCACCCCTGATATACAGTAATGTCTAATTCAAATAAATGCCAAGTGAAGCGATTTTTGGTCAGACTTGGATTTAAGTGCAACTTCCTTAGTTTGATGCCTTTTACTTGTTTTGATCCTATAGGATAGGACTTGTTGTTTGTGTTTGTTAAAGCAATATTTGAAATTGTTGTATTATAATATAATTCATTTATGTCGTTTGCCCAAATTGCCCAGTACCTGAAGAAGCTGCATACCCAGGAGCGGGCAGTGGAGGAAGTGAAGCTGGCCATCAAACCTTACTATCAGCGCAAAGACATCAACAAGGATGAATACAAAGACATCCTCAGGAAAGCAGTGCATAAGGTCAGCCCAGCACACACACACACACACACACACACACACACACACACACACACTGAGTGACACAAAGTGCAGCAGAACACTTCAATGCAACCTCAATGCATGTTTTGCTTAATGTTGTTCGAATAGGGTTATGTTACTAAATGAAGTTTTAAGTAATGCTTAAAAACTAAGGCTGGGAAAGTTAACGCGTTAATATCGCATTAATTAATTAACACCAAACACAGGCATTAACAATTTTTTTAATTAATATTACATTACATGTCACTTGTTAGACGCTTTTATCCCAAGCAATTTGGGGTGAAGTGTCTTGCCCAGGGACACAACGACATGCTGCCTGCAGTGGGACTCGAACTTGCTATCCCCTGAATCAAAGTTCAGCGCACTATTCCAATGAGCCACAGCCTCCCCTACTATTATTAACACGTCTCAACCAATGACAGCATTTGGGGCGGGCTTAAGACTGCTTCAGAGTTGATAGAACCAGAGTTATTTGGAACCACTGCAAAGTTGAGTTCTCTTATCTTTGGACTCTGAGGGGAACTTCTACAACACGTTAAAGCCCTGGCAGTGGCAAATAGCTCTGGTTTTATATTTGAATACATTAATTAATGTCTAAGTTGAGATTTACAAGAAATATTTGAACTGCTACTGTGTAAAGAGAATACTGTTGTTGAAAAGCAAGTGTTTGCAAACCAAATGTTATTGCGCTTTTGTTCATATGGCAGTACTTTTAAAATAAAAGTAAGCAATACACCACTTTAGATTTTGTTATTGAATTTTGAGCATAACACATTGACTCGTGATGAAACATTTAGATCGTTGCCCATCACTATTAAAAACATAAGGACTATTACTACATATTCCTATAATGAAACAACATCAACAAAATATAAACAAATTACTTTGATATAAAACAGGCACTGTGTCAATTTCTCAGATTTGTCACAGCCGCACTGGGGAAATCAACCCTGTCAAAGTCAGCAACCTCGTGAAGCTGTACGTCCAGCGCTACAAATACTTCCGGAAACATGGACGCAAAATGGATGAGGAAGAGAGAGAGGACAGGGAGCCAGGAGCAGTGCATTCCTCTGCCTGATACAAGACTCTGACCCTCACCGCCGCCTTCTTCTCTTTTATTGTTGTCATAGCCAACTTTTACATGCTTTTTATCTTATCTCTATGATCTCACTGTAAATATGTCTTTCATAGAAAATGTATCATGTATACAATGTTCGGGAAGTAGTTCCTATCATGTACGCCCCTGTGATGTAATACGGCCCGGTACACCTACTTTGCAATAAATTCTGCCTTTGTGAAGCTCATATTTGATTTAGTTGACACTGTCCATGAGAAGCTTCGCAGTGGTAGCACTAATTGCAAGGCTTTTTTCAACAGCATTGGAAAAGATGTTCATAATACTTTGTCTACCCCTTCACTGTGTATCAAATATAAAACCGAGATGAGATGTATACCCAGTTACACATACCAAACGATGTTGTAGAATATTGTAAGGACACAGTGGCGGTTCTAGCTGATATGGCGCCCTGGGCGGTGCACCTCCAAAATTACACAAAGGACTTTCCAGTACAATTACCTTTGAGGTGTTTGCTAAATGAAGTTGACTGTTAATTGTTATAGTGGTTGTTTATAACATTTTTATTGCAGGGCTCCACATTATCGTTCTGAAGTAAGACGGTTTGAAATGATTCCAATGTTTGTTGCTGAACTGACGACGAAACACAGGCAGCTAACAAACAGCAATGGAGTTGAGGTTACCGGCATCATTTAATGGAAAGCTTAATATAGCCCAACTAAATAAATGAGATGTTACGGGTGCATGCTACATACCTTTATCTTTTGAGCGTTTCTCTTCTTCTTTCCTTTTCTTTCTAAACTGGGCACCTGATGCCTTGTGCCTTTTTTTCTCCATCACCGTAGGTATTCATTTTTGACCCGAGAATCAATGCATAGCGTACCCCTCCCCCAACACTGTCAACTACATGTCAAGACTATACCAAGTTGCCGTAGTCAGTTTTTAAATAATGATTTGTTTTGTCAAACAACCCAGGAAAAAGATATTTCTGCAAAACTATTTATATTGTATGAATGAATTTGGTGGCATTTCGAGACCTGAGATTATTTTGACTAACTTTATAAACATCGAAAGTGATTATTTGATAGAGATAGTTTACCCACCGCCCCCTCCTCTCTCCTCAATAGTGAGGGGACCTGAGATCACCCCCACCCTTCTTTGAGTGTGAGACCTTCCATCCAGCTGTCTGCTGTCAGGGCGGCTGCGCGCCCCCTTCTACCAACAACAATACACTATATGAAATTGCGTTCATATTGCCGATAAAACATTTTTTTACACCCCAATTTCTTTCTTTCATTGTGCTTGTGCCGCCCTGGGCGGCCGCCCATGTCGCCCATATCAATATCCTCCACTGAGGACACTACACCACATGTCCCCTCTATTCCCTGTCTGTCAGTCATTAGGGCGGTGGTGGCGAAGTCGATAGGGACTTGGCTTGGCAACTGGAAGATTACCAGTTCAAGTCCCGGCAAGACCAAGTGCTACGAGGTGTCCCTGAGCAAGTTCCGTTCCCAACACTGCTCCCCGGGCGCTGTTGAAAATGGCAGCCCACTGCTCCTAACACTAGGATGGGTCAAATGCAGAGAAACAATTTCCCCACAGGGATTAATACATTTAAAAAAAAAAGTATATATCAGTCTTTGCAGATGGTTCAAATACAATGACCTCTCTGCTGTCTGTTTTGTGTGCATGTGTTACTGAGGTTAAAATAATGTTGCTAAATCTCTTTTTAAAATATTGTTTGAAAGAACAGTACTTTATTCATATAGTACATTTTTTGTATTTGCTTTACCTGTCCCCAGGAACATAAATATACTTGGTAATTAATCTACTCTGAAGTTAGAACAAGTGTTGTTCTGTATTGCTGACCGTAGGCATAAAGTAGCACAGTTACAGATAGAGTAATTAAGGTAAGGTAAACATATTCATTGCAAGAGGTTATATGCAGGTATTGCAGCAGAGCATGAACAGTTATAAGTACTGTGGGGGAAACGTGAAGAGAGAAAACGATGAACTGTGTCGAAGGTTGAATACCTAAGCTAATTATTCCCGAACAGTTTCTCTCTTTTTATCAATTTTGATAACCTAAAAAACCTATTCTAATAATAATTTGTTCAATGCCCTAATAAATAAGGTTCTTCAGAAAAGGTGTAGGCATTCTACACAATGTTGCAAATAATCACATTAATAAAACATTTCAGATTGAAACAGTCAATCACAATCATAAAACATATCTCATCAGTGTTTGGAGCAACTTTTCAAAAGCACAATAATGAACATACATGAAATAATCACAGATACATAATAACATAAACATTTGATCATTTACTCAGTCAATTTTATTTAGCAACCTACAAAATCAAGACTATGCTTGCAGCTCAAATATTTACTTCAAGGCAAACAATTAGTCAAGGCGTCAATAAATCAGGATCATGAGAGTTCCAGCTATGGTTTAAGAAATTCACACTAGTGATCTAACCAATCTATAATCTGCAAAATTGCAGTGTCTTCAATTCAGGATTGTATTTACGTTAGCTTCATTGAATATTAAATCAAGAGACTATGGCATGATAACAGAATTACATTACTTGAAGTATCAATCATTATGTCATTTCAAGATCTGAAGGGAAATGTTAAACAATTCTCAAAATGTTTAACAATCTGAAAAGGAAAAGTTAGACATTTGTAGTATAGTGTAACAATCTGAAAAGGTTAAAAAACATTTTCTTTAATCGGAGCAGAAATATGGTTAATTTTTTTGCCATTCGTTGTAGTCACAAGCCCCTTCTTTGAAAGAGGGAACCCATGGTTCGGACACCACGGCAGGGACCCATGGGTCGGGAAGCTTGGCATCGTAGATGATCACGGTGTTGTCATTGGTGCTGTACACTGTAAAAAAAGATCGTAATTTTACAGGAAATAACTGTAAATTTGTATAGTAAATATCATGTTTTTTTAAATAACTTGCAAAATCCTGTAAAATGACAGATATTAACTATAAATGAACAACCCAAAACATTATTTTAAGTATTTTGACAATAACAACAAATAACATTTATTTCATTTTTTTACAGTAAATTTACTATATAATATTTACAGTATTTTTGCACTTTCAGAAAATACATGCAGATGTACGTAAGATAAAAAGTATTATCTGTAATTAAATATGTAACTCGTAATATAAAAGTGTATTACTATTATAAGACATTAAGATATTTCTTTGTAATTTGAAGGTAAACAAAACTGTAAAAAAAGTCAACTAAATTTTTTTTAAATGTAAGTAAATCATTTTAACATAAATAATGTTCTCTATATTCGATTGAATCAACCACAAACACAAAATATCCAATGTTGAAACAAAAGTAAATGTTTTCATGAAATTCCTAAATTACTATATTGTCAACATCTACAGTCTGAGTCAATATAATTTATCATGTACTATAATGTTAATATTTACATGAATTATGTGACCATCTATGTTTCCTGTAGTTATTGAATTGCTCTCTTTACTGCACTGTTAGTGTACAGCTTATTATTATGCTGCTGTGTTTATTGTATGTTTGTAACTCTGGCACAACCATTTATTTCGGGATGAATTAAGTCCTATACCTTATCTCATCATTTAAAAAAATAAAAATCAGAGATAGTGAAGAAATCTCTGCAGGGACAAAAACAAGCATTGACCGTCTGTTACCTTTGACCCCCCCTCAGACCTTCTCAGTTTGTAATGTTAAATTGACTTTAATTGTCAAGCTGTAGTGCTGCACCCATATATTTCTATGGTGTAAGCCAGCGCCATATGGCGCTGGTGTAAGCTAAATTACATTACTTTTTTTTTTTAGCACAAGGAAAACAAACAAGACAGGACAGAGTTCAATCCCAGGGTTTTCCACACATAGACTTGGGCGGGCCGCCCAGGTATATTAACGGCCGCCCAGGTATGTTAACGGCCGCCCAGGTATATTAACGGCCGCCCAGGTATATTAACGGCCGCCCAGGTATATTAACGGCCGCCGAGGTATATTTCTCGACCCATTTAGGTTTTTTTTTTAGATTTTTTTTTTGTATTCGTCCGTGACCACGACGCCATCTGCGATCGATTAACTTGTGGACAATGATCCCTCGCTCCCTTGCTCTGATCACACCTCCTTCTGGCCTGTTAAGTGGCCTGCCTCACACAGGCTGTCCACACGATGTGGCCTGCCGACATGGCTACTGTCATTCAGATTGTAGTGGCTATTTGTCAACAACACCAAAGTTTCAAAAGGCCACTGAGGCACCAGTTAGCAGATCAGGAGCCGGTAATTAATCCATTGTCCAGACAACGCATCGACGTTTTCGTGGTATTTATTAGTTTCACCTTGCGGGAACATTACAGCAAAAGATGTTTAAATGTTTGCTGAACTCAGCCCTGACACTGATAAAAAACCATATACCTTCCCGGTGCCCAGTGCCTGCTGCTGTGCCCTGATTGCCTTAAATAAACCCAGCTGTGTGCCCAAATTGACCCATCACCTTCAAAATAAAAGCATTTTAGCTGGAACACAACTTAACTTAAATAATATGGCTGTAAATCAATTAATTCTACAAAACAAAAAATAACAAATAAATACATTAAATAAATGTGAAAAATACTGAATAGCTTCCACACAGATCATAAATCAAAGCCCTTGATTGGTCTCTGTGTGTCATTCAAGCTCGGGATAACCTCAGCTCAGGTGAGGTAAAGGACTCTCTGAGTGTTTAGATAGTGAGTCTCAAACGGTGTGGTCACCATTTATGTAATACATATTTCCATTTGAGAGGGTAGTGATTGGTCTAATGCAGGGGTGGGGAACCTTTTTCCTCTCAAGGGCCATTTCAATGTTTTCAACATCCTCCGAGGGCCGTACAAATGATTGACCTCTGCTTAAAAATACTAATATCACAGCCCACTCATTTCACCTTTCTTTCATTCTGTGCAAAGAAAAAGCAACCTCTTAATCCAGATATCTCACCATGACTCGCGCATGCATGCACGTGCACGGTCGTGGCATGACCAGTGCTTGAATTGGAATGAAAAAGGTGCCAGTACTCTAAAATCAGCAACTTTTTCAAGTCAATTTTATATATACAGCCCACAAACAAGAATTTGGCTACTATAATGCTGGTGGGTTTGTCTCTTTACTACTGTATATTTTAGAAAGGTTCACTGTACTTAACATTTTTTATGATAGGCAGCGGATATGGCTAAAGCTCAGTAAGGTCAATATTAACTGAAAATATAGCAATCAAAGTCTAGATCTTCTGCTTGAAGCAGAGACCTTTCAGGTGAGAGCCCCTCTGGTGGTGTTCAACATTAATGACAAGGAAACAAAGCTCTGGTCAGAAGCATTTTTTATAAAAAGCTTTAACAAAATTAAGTATTTCTGTACATTTTGAATGCAATCTAACTTTCCAACTCAGAAAACGAAAAACGAAAAAGTGCCAAAAGTCTTCTCACATGGCTGAGCTGCTTTGCAATATACTTCACCACTGAAGAATACAAATATGTATAAAGTAAACTATGATGCAATCTAACTTTCCAACTCAGAAAAATGATAAAGAGCATGAACAAAGAACATGTCAAAACAAATGCAAAATTTGCACAATCTAAAATGAGAAACTGTAACTGCAAGTAACAAAGTCTGAGCCATGGTAAAGAGTTACATTGAACACCAAGCTGATCAGATAACTCCCTGGTTGGTCTGAAGTCCTTCTATCTCCAGGATCTGTACAAAT